CTGGGAATTAAAATTTGTTTTTGTTAAGATTTCTTTTTTTAGAAATTCTTCATTAAATTTTGGGTGAGATAAAATGAGACTTCAAAAACACGAAAAGTGGGAATATCGAAAACAATAATTTGTGGTTAGGTACTCCATCACGATAACATTTTACCAAACGTAGATCTGATGTGGCAATTCCTAAACTCGTAAACTATGACTACGCCATTTTTGTGGGCTATCTATTTCCAGTTTGATTTAATTGACTACATCTGTAATTCTATCAAAAAACTTTGAAATGATATATAATTTAACCTTTTATCGTATAAAATATACTACATCTGTTTATATAAAAATACCAAAACTATTTTCTAGATTTTTTTAGTTGACTTTGGAGCTTTTTTTTTTTGTGTGTAAGCTTTGTTATTTGACTTATTGATCTTAATTAATATAGAAAACATATTTTAAGTAAAAAGATTATTACAAATTCATAAAACGGATCCAAAGATTACATCAAACTATTGTGAGCTGCGGTATTTGGTAAATAGATCAATTCTTGATATACTTTTCATAATCCATGTTGAAGTTCTAGTATAGATCTAGTTTAGAAATATGAGCAATATAAGCCTTTTTTTAATATCCAACTCTAAAATGCAAAGTGGCGTGTTTAGATTCAAAGGCTAAATTCTATCACGAATAAGTCTCCCTTCTTGTTTGTAAATTATAGCCATTTTTTCAAAGCTTATTAATTACCAAAATTTAGAGATAATTAATATCATTCGCTTAGTTTAATAATGTCTTAGGTCAATAAATTAATCTTGCCAAACTCGCAAGTAGAAAAGTCTCTGCATATCCAATAACTTCCGGTTCGGTTTTTGGATTTTCGAGTTTTTCGAGGTTGCTACTACCACTATTCAAACATGATTTATGTAAATCCAGCACATTTTCCCTCCTATCGCTGGCCAAGTATCATGACAACAATTTGGAAGAATATGCTTAGGCTTAACACCAAAGTGTAGACTGGATCATTGATCACATATACTTTTGCATGTCCACA